AACGGGTTGATAAGCCATAAAAACAATCAAATTAATCAGTCTATATTATCCTTATATTGATGACTATATTGACATCTCTATTCTCCTGAAATCTCTTTGTGCTGCTAGTGTTCCATTTTCCCCTTATTTAGTTCTCTTAGTATCACTTAGTATCTACTAAGGTGTGATCATAACATTTCCATTTATGTTGATCAAACATTGTCTGAGAAGTGAATGTTTGGCTTACCAAAAAGTTTCAAAGTTGGTGGCATCAAGAAAGGGCTTGATTATTCTTGTTGCTGTGGAAACAAGATCAGGTTAAATTCTTGTTGGACCACAAAAGAAGGAAAAGAATCACTTTTCTGCTGGACAAGACAGGTGCCATCTGAGAAAGACAGAATGGAACCACTTAAGCCGTCAAGAATCTTAGTTAGGAATAGACAATTCTGTCAGTCTGTTCCTTAACTCTGACAACTATTTTTGTATACCTTCTTTTTTTATTTGTATTTCGCAAAATTTCTTTTCAAAAGAAAATTTGCCAGCATTTTCAATGTCTAGCAGCTGGCACTGGAAATAAACAGGTGTCTGTAAATATAGATTTTTAGAGAAAGTTAATGTTTTTTGTTTTAACTAATACAAGACTAATAAGTAAAACTTCTGAACAGATAAGTAAATTTTTTTCTTTTTAATCGATTTCACCCCAATCAAGGCAATAAATCTACTAAGACACAAGGGGTTACTAGGTACCATAGCAAAAAGCTTATCTGAACAATTACCATGAAAGTATTTATAGAAAAGGAACAGGGAAGCAAGCTTATAGCAGTGGGAAAGTGATTGAAGTCTAGCTGCCAGATCAGGACCAATAATAATGCTGATTCTTTTGGGTAATATTTTAGGGGTGATATGTTTGAATTATTTGTTATGTGAGAAGAAGAATTTTATACTATTACTGTGTTAAAAAATTTCATTATTATTTCAAGTGTTGGTGATGAGATGGTACCTATTTACTAAAACTGTTAGTTATATTGAAGACTAGACCTGAGACACATTGGTCAAATTTCAGATTATGAAAATCTTGGCTCGAATGCTTTGTCTACCATTTTATTTCCATTAATCTTAGTCATTTTGATATATTTCACATTAATGTTGTCATTCTCAGCTTGCATTCTTCCATAAATAAATATTACATTACTTGAAAACTATAGCGATATGAAGTCTGTTTTCAGTTTTCTTAATAATAATTTTTGAATGTTTCACAAAAATATCAAGTTTTCAAGTTAAGATAAAACCTATGATTTTAAATACTGATTTTCAAATCTGGTAGGAAGAACATTGGTGCAATATAGTCTTCCATGTGCCAAATTTACTTGTAAATATCTCTTATTTTGAAATGATGATCTTAGATGATGGAACTAGAGAATGTAGCTCAGAAGATTTTCTTTGAAAATAGAAATAATGTAACAATACGCTTACAACATTACATCTCTCGGAAAGGGTTTGTAGGTTAAAAAATAATTCATTGCTTACAAGGCCACATAAATGTTTTTAACCTTGGTCAAAAATAGTAAGAGAGGATTGTGCAGCTCCAGTCCATATATGGCAACAATACTCCATATTTGGTCTGATCTGACTCTTGTAAAGATAGAGTATGGCAGGAGGAGTCAATATTTTCTGGGTTGATAGAATGAGCCAAAACAGCTCCAGCCCAGATATGACAGCAATAATCTATTTTTGGTCTGATCTGACTCTTGTAAAGATAGAGCGTGGCAGGAGGAGTCAGATACTTTCTGGGGTAGTATCAGGAGCCAACTGATTTTCCTACATCTTTAACAATGTATTGTATATATGTTCCACTGGGAACATCTGGGTAAACTTGAATCCCACATCCAGTTTTCCCACATTAAGCTGTTAGAGCTATATTTCTGACTATTTTGATGACCAATGGTGTGGTATATTTTCCCACTGGCACCAAGTATCGATGCTTGAATTGAGTAAAAAAAAAAAAAAATTTCGAAAGTCAATTTTTATGATAGTCAACTCTTTTTCTTACCACCTCAAGTTCATAAATATTTTCACATCATGTCTATTATGGTCATTTATTGGATACAAATGTGGTAAGATGTATTTGTTTATAATTTTCAGCAGAGACATCAACATTACAAATTTTGTTTTGACAATTGAACTTATATTCTTGATCTTGTTAACACAACATTTTCATTAGTCCCCTCTTCAGCCTCTACTCAAAACAAATTTTAAAACAAAAGCAACTATACCAGAATACTGGCCATTATCGACACAACTCTCACTTGCCACAGATGTCTACAACTACATCCATATACTTCCCTCATATAGGCTATAAGAGAAGGCAGACACCAGCACACAGAGAATAGGGAGAGAGAGAGAGAAAAACTTCCCACACACACACTAATCATAGAGGCAACTGCCTGTCTGACCATTAAGCTGTGAAAATGACCTCCTGTGAATACAGAAAGAGAACAGGCTCAACTATTAACATGACAAGCCAAAGCTGTTAACCAACAAGCAGGCAGCCAGGTTAAGCATACTCCTTTTTCATGCTCTCCTTTTTCATGCTCTCCTTTCACATATCATACACTGTACATTCAAATACTACTTTATACAACTTAGCAAATCTTTGGTCATTTCTCCAAACCAGTGTCTAATTTGTTTCTTTATTCCAACCTTGGATCAAGCTGCAAATAGGAAGTACTCTAAATTTCCCTTGAGTTGAATGGTTCCCTTTGTTCTATGGAATTCATGGGAATTACAGATTTTATTTTTATTTCAAGTGACAGTGAGATCATGACAAGAACATTACAATTATAATATGTAGAACAGGAAGAATGAGTTGAATTCTCAAGACAAAATTTGAACTGAAAAATATATTAATCATTATCATACGTAAGACCTTTTATGCTTTGTAGTGTATCACATTTCACTGGCAATTTATTTATATAAAGACTCACTTTATGTGAGATGAACTGATTCTTCCAAGGAGAGAGGTTAGCATTTTTGTTATAGCTTTCGCCAGTTTATGAAGGGTGCTGTCTAATCCTGAGATAATGGAACATATTGGGATACCAGTTTTAGGGAAACTGTAGAGTTTTTTTATAATTTTAGCTTTTGAGAGGGTAAGTTTTTCCTTTGATTGCATTTTTAGGAAATTTTTTTCAATTGGGACATTGATGTAAGGGGATTTTATATCTAGACTGGCCATGTGTTTGACAGTCATGTTATTATATAGGAGTAAAGTGTTACTGCCGACACTGGAGTTTGAACACATATCAACAGTGAGCAAATACAGGTGATCCCAGATCATAGGATGGTAAAGGAAATGTATATATGGGAATTAGCGTGGCATCTAAGGGATCACTATATGGATTACTATTCGGATCACTATTCAGTGGTTACTTTTTGAGTGAGTATTATCGAGCCAGTACCATTAGTGTGAGCACTATTTGAAGGCATCTGACACCATTGTTGTTCAATGGTGTTACTATAGTTGTATCTGCAATTACAAAGTCTCTACTATAACATGCATTACAAAAGTGACAACAAGTATTCATTGACATTACAAAAGTGGCAATGAGTTTTTGTTTTTCTTAGTTTTCAACTAAGCTGCCTGAATTCTTTATATGAGATGAACTGATTCTTTTAAGGAGAGAGGTTAGAATTTTTGTTATGGCTTTCACCAATTTATGAATGGTGCTGTCTAATATTGAGATAATGGGGCATATTGGGATACCAGTCCTGAGGGAGACCATAGAGTTTGATATTCTATGTGCCTATCTTATATAAAAACTCATACATGAAAACCTAATAAGATGAAGATGTAAAAAACAAGTCTGTCATTTTTTTTCATAGTGCTATTTAAATTGTTGATAATAAAAGAAATGTTTGCTTTAACTTAGATTTTAAAACAGTTTGTTAAAAGGAAAAAGTTCAAGATCATATTTTAGGTTTCAAAATTAGTGACAAGATCTGCTTGATTGATGAGAGAATTACTTAACTAACAAATGTTTGAATTTAAGTAAAAGCCAGAACTTTACACAATAATTTTTCAAGCAAGCAAGTTTAATATATTTGGATGACTAGTGTAACACATTCTTATATTCCATTTCAAATCCCACTTCATCTTGTACCAAACTTAGCTTTGTAAATATGTAAAATGGTGGAACATTTTGTAAAATTATGTCAAGTGTGTAAACATTTCAAAATCAACCTGGAGATTAATTCAATTGTTTTATTAATGTTTTTTTTAATTTTCATAATACCAAATTTATCCAAACATTAAATATAAACTAAAGATAAGGATGTCAAAAGGTTTTTTCAATATATTCTGGAAATAACAGACAAGTTAAAAAATATTTTACTATCATAAGACAACCATTTCTTGTTATATATTTATTTAATCAAAGCGTTTTTCAGTAAGTAATTTTGTGTAAACATTCTCCACACAAATGCTCCTAGAATATTGATATTTTGGGCTTGGCTCAATATTGGTAGCAGCAAAAGAAAAAAAAAGACAGTACTCTGATCTGCCTTGGCATAATATAAACCAAAAATGCATTCTATTCAATCTTTCATTTTATTTATTCTTCGATCAATGGAAAATTAAATATTTAACCCTCTACATATTTTATTCCAATAAAAGGATGAAAAAGCCTCTAAACAATTGCAGATATGTATCCTTTTGCAGTGTGGTGGTATATAGATATTTACAACGCCTAGTCTGGCACAATTCTGGTATTTACAACGCCTAGTCTGGCACAATTCTGGTATTTACAACGCCTAGTCTGGCACAATTCTGGTATTTACAACGCCTAGTCTGGCACAATTCTGGTATTTACAACGCCTAGTCTGGCACAATTCTGGTATTTTCTAAAGACACTGACCACAAGAATTAGCAGAAAATAGACAACTTTGTAAAGAAAGTAGAAGCTGTACAATTTTGTATATATAGGAAGGGGGGGGCAATTATTGGTTCCTTCATTGTTGTACATATGGAAGGAAAGAATGAAATCTTAGATTTTTCTTTTTCAGTCTTTTTCTTATTTCTTCCCTTCTTTCAACCTCACCTCTGTCTCATCGTCCACCAGTCTCTTCTCTGTCTCGTACTCCTTCAGCTTCCCCCTTCTCTCGTACTCCTTCAGCTTCCCCCTTCTCTCGTGCTCCTTCAGCTTGCCCCTTCTCTCATACTCCTTCAGCTTCCCCCTTCTCTCGTACTCCTTCAGCTTCCCCCTTCTCTCGTGCTCCTTCAGCTTCCCCCTTCTCTCGTGCTCCTTCAGCTTCCCCCTTCACTCGTGCTCCTTCAGCTTCCCCCTTCTCTCGTGCTCCTTCAGCTTCCCCTTTCTCTTACTCCTTCAGCTTCCCCTTCTCTCGTTCTCCTTCAGCTTCCCCCTTCTCTCGTGCTCCTTCAGCTTCCCCTTCTCTCGTGCTCCTTCAACTTGCCCCTTCACCGTGCTCCTTCAGCTTGCCCCTTCTCTCGTGCTCCTTCAGCTTGCCCCTTCTCTCGTGCTCCTTCAGCTTCCCCCTTCTCTCGTGCTCCTTCAGCTTCCCCTTCCTCGTGCTCCTTCAGCTTCCCCTTCTCTCGTGCTCCTTCAGCTTCCCCCTTCTCTCATTCTCCTTCAGCTTCCCCCTTCACTCGTGCTCCTTCAGCTTCCCCCTTCTCTCGTGCTCCTCCAGACTCTCCACCGTCTCATGCTCATCCACTGTCTCGTCCTCCACTAGCTTCTCCTCTGTCTTGTCCTCCGCCATCTCATCCTCCACCAGCAGCTACTACTCTTCTGTCCTGTCCTCCACCATCAGTCATTCATCCTCCACCATCTCATCTTCCTTCAGCTTCTTTTCCATCTTGTCTTTCAGTTTCTTCACTCTGTCCTTGTTCTTTAATTTTCTTCTTTAGTCATTTTCTTTCTTGTTTGTTTTTGATTTTAGATTTTTTTTGTCACATTTCAGTATTTTTTTTATTTTTTTGCTTCTTTTTCTTCCTTGATTTCATTTTTAAGGCAAAATATTTTTTATTCATTTTTTTCATGATTTTCCCTCATTTCTCTTCTTTTTATTTTTTCTTTCTTTCTTTCTTTCTTTTTCTTTCACTTTCTTTTTTTTCTATTATTTATTTCTTCTTTCTTTTCCTTTTCTCCTTTTGGTTTTTGTGTATTTGACTTCATTATTTTATTCCATGTCATTTTTTAAAAGTTGTTGGATTTCTTTTCTCATCCAGATTGAGTTTTGTATCCTTCTTCATTTTATTTGTTTTTGAGTCTTTCAGTTGAGAATGAGAAACATTTTAAAACATCATCTGATGAAAGATTCCATCTCTTCCATCAACCTCGGACAATTTCCTCCATTCTCTTTTATCCTTAACTCTTTTTTTTTTATATATCACAAATCGATCAGTCTTTTCTATTAAAAAGAAGAAAAACAAATAAAGGAAAGAAAAAGTCCAACAAGATTTTAACTGTAAAATATCTGCCAAAACAAATTCAAGAGTTTAAACAGGAATGACTGTCCCACAAAACAGAAAAGAAAAATGCTTACAAAACACTTAAGAGATCGGGGGGGGGGGATCTAAGAAAACAAAACCCTTCACTCAGCTTCTGTTTTTAAAAAAGATTTTCATTGTTCCTAGGTACCTGTCCATTTCCCTCTCCCTCATGTATATGAAGCAGGTGGTTTCTTGGTAGACAATCACACCACCCACAATCTATTTTTGCAAGGAAGTAAAAACAATGGTAATAATAAAAAAAAAAAAATCTGAGCATGCCTTCAACTTGTCAGTGCAAGATTTTGATCTTTTGTGCCTGACTTTTATTTCCTCTTTGACTCTTCATTCAATTTGAATCTGTTAACTGATAAATCATCTTTACTAAATGTCCATTTGACTTCTGCAATCACTGATGATAAATATCTTTTGAGAAATGAGAAATGTTGTTTTAGTTTGTGTCTTGGCTTCATTAATTTATTAAATTTTGGTGAGTGGGTAACAAAAAGATGATGTTGGTTGGAAGAGACACCTGCTCTCTTTAAAACACAAAGAAAGTTGCAAAAAAATAAATAAATCAAAACCCTTTCATTCAAAGAGAGGTATTAAGAAAAGGTGAATCAGTGCTTTGACTCAAATCCAGGCTTTCACTTCTTCAGTCCCGTTGGAGTGAATATACAAAATAAGTTTCCTTGATTAAGATAACTGACAATAATTTCACCTGCTTTCAAAACAATTTTCTCAAGTGGGTATTTCTATAGGATACCTACAGAAATATCCACTTGATAATTTGTTTGATTAATCAATAAATAACATTTATTTAATTATAATTGTTGACATGCTTGGATTGCTTCAAATATTTCTTGATTTGGAAAAAAGTACAAAACACTCAAGACTCATTGGGCAATCTGTTTAAGAAATGTTTAATGAAAGACAAGGTTATTTGGCCTACACTCTGGCTTGATTCAGTCAGTAAAATGGCATACATGATACACACTTGGGTGATTATATCTATTTTGATTTATGACTGACTAGGCAGAAGATTTTCCCCTGATTAGTCTGATGTTTTTTTCGGCAGACTGGTTGCCGACCAAGGCTGTAGGGCCCAGTCAGTCCTGCTGTTCAACCCATAGCTGGAGGGAAACAAGATGGATTAAGAACTTCCCCAAGGGTATTTGTGCATAACTGAATATAATGAATCTGAGTGTAATTTGAACTTGGTCCACTGATTTCTCATTCCAAGCCAATATCCAATGCGTATGTCTTGTTGTATTAAAAGAAAAATCTCTTTCATTTCTATATTAATCCTAAAACATTTATCAAATAATGATGATAGATGTATAAGTCATATTCCCCTGAGGATAGCTGATTCCTTACAGTGGCACTTAATTTAGAAACACAAGTATATGTTGCTGTATTTTTTTTTTTAATCAAGTTCACCGCATGCAAGGCACAAGGTGTTACTGGGTGTGGAAGAATTAGAATTGGAAACATCAAAAAGGAATGAGAACAAAAAGAGTAGATAGCGATTGATATGGAATTTAAATTTTTAAAGATTAAAGTTGACTGGAAAGCATGGAACTAGAAGGGAGTTCCACAAGTGAGAAGTGCAAGAAAAAAAACTGTTAGCATAAAATTTACTGTTATGTCTAGCCAGCTCAGCTATCAATTGATGAGATCTTGACACCAGTCTAGTGCTACACTTAAATTCAAGTCTAGGTACCATAGCAAAAGTTCATCTGACCAGTTAACTTGGAAGTATTTATAGAAAAGGTACAAAGAGGCAAACTTACAGTGTTGGAAAGTGGTTGAAGCGAAGATGCCAGATCAGGACCAATAATATTGCTGATTCTTTTTTGGATTTTGTCAATGAGCTCAAGATAAATAGCAGGAACACCAGACCATATTTGGCAACAATATGCTAAGCATAGATGAATGATAGACTTATAGATATGTAAGATAGATTCTGGAAAGAAAAATTGTCTTGTATGACACAGTGAACCAAGTTTCTTCGCAGTTGACCCAGTAATCTTTGGATGTATGTTTGTATGAATAAGGAAGCATATAATAACATTAATTTCACAAATTTTTTTTTTTAAAATCACTTGTATGTGTTTAAAAATTGAAATTATTTCATCTTTTTGATTTTTTTGCATCTTCCAAAGCATTCAGAAAGCAAATGAGATTTGTGTTCTTTTAATTGATATATTTTTCAATGTGAATTATTTAGGCTAAGTTCCTTTGTTAAAAATACTGAAAATATAAAGCTTAGAAAAAAAAAACATGTCAAGTATACACAATGAAAATAAAACACCATTAATATATGATAAAATATAAAAATTAAAAGCAACCCTAGAATATCATTTCTGTTGTTATATTGTAAGTATATAGACTCCCCTGTAAAATATATAAACCACAGCCTCACCATGCTAATGGTTGATGCAATTGTTTTTATAACAATTAGGTTTTTACTTGGTGGATGTTCTAAAGTCTAGCAAGAGTATGTTGAGGTTGGTGGGGAAACACCTAACTGATTGCTCTCCCAGCATCTATGGGAAGTGGGGGTAATAGGCTGAGAGAGAAAGAGATGGGAGGTAACAAAACTAATACTGCCTTGGAAACCACAGCAAATTTAGGAATAAAATACACATGGGACCAACTTCACAAGACAATATGCCTTGCTGACTACTGGTTTTTCTGTTGCTTTTATTGGCATGAGGCTTTTTACAAAGACCCATATCTTGATGCCCTGGTGCTGCTTACAGCATCGTGAGTGGCATTCTTAAAACCAGATGGGATTGATCATGACTCCTGATTATGTGCGATATTAGTTTTCACCCATTTTTTATAGCATTGAGATCCCATGATTGGCACAGCAGCTACAGCAATTTTATGCTAATTTCTTCAGTGTCAGCTCTAACTCATCTAGTGGTATATTTCAAGTTGTTATCCTGCTGAATATTCTATAACCAGCACAATAAATTGATGCATAGGGTTACATAACTTCATACAATATTTCTAGATGTAGAAAAGTAGTCACAATTTTCATAATTCAGTATTAAAAAGTGTTATAAACAGACATATGGTACCATGAGAACAAACAAAACAGGTACTGTTGATGAGGCAAAAAGAAAAGAATACAAGAATTGTTAGAGTAAAATTCTTTGTATTGCTGATACAGCGGATATGAGTGGAATATCTCTTTGTGGGCAGGGGAAACAACTTGGAGGAAGTGCTGAGTCAGTAGGGCCTGAAGTTAATGTATGTATGTATTGGGTCCCTTGACTGAAGCCACTAATGTTCATGTTGACAGCTTGCCCATTTAGCCTGGCTCTGCTTACAGCATTATGAGTGGCATTCTTAAAACCAGATAGGATGGATCATGACATATTTTTTTTTTCTGTTTTGCTTTAGTGGCAATGTTTATAATTGGCTTCTTTTAAATTATATTTAAGAATTTTTTTAGGGGATTTGTTTTGTATTACTTTTTATTTTTGATTTTGTTTGCTTAGCGTTCACATGTGGCCAACATGTAGTATCAATCAGAAAGAGTTCTAATTTGAAGCAGAGTATAACAAGAGCAACAGTTTCCATTTACACAACCTCATATCACGACAGTACTTCCTTCATGTTTAACCCTTTCTTTAATGTAGTGCAGGTGAAAATCTTTACCTATCCTTCCTCTAATATACTGTTGACCAATTAATCATATATAAATAAACCAAACTTTAGTTGGTGCGTAAATTAGATGAGTAGATTATTTTCAAGTTTGTTTTTTTTAAAATTTTCCTTGTTTAAAAAAAAATTAAGTGTAACAGAAGTTGACCCATTTTTTTATACAGAAAAAAATAAGGTCTTAAATACGATGAAGTTGATTTTTATTTATGCTGGACAGTAGAATGCTTACTTTTTCTGTATAAATTTACTAAAACCATTAAATAATTAACTACTTTTGAAGTCTGACATTAATGCTGGTAATCATGATCAGGGCTGCATTTTACATTGCTTGGAATTTCTACCTATTGCAATAGAGCACCATTGATTTACATATAGTGATATGGATATTCTTGACTGGAAAAAAAAAATGTAATGATATGAATAATCTTGACTTTATCTTTTTTTATTCTTGTCTGTTTTTCTTGTTTTGCTGTGAGATCAGCAAAATTATTGAGAGGATGGTAAGGAAAAGAATATAAATTGTAAAGATTTCCAATCAGAATCTTAACTTCTACATGTGAATATAATCCAGGTTTATATAATTTAATATATTTTAATAAGCAAGTGAAATTATGCTAAATACAACTAAATTGAAAACCTCTTCTCCCTGGCCATATTGGCAATTTTGAAAATTTTGAGGTGCAAATTTTACATGAGTAGGAGGATTTTTTAACAAATTTTATCCTGAAAATCACCTGCGTAAATTACGCATGTGCCCAAATTACATGGGTTTTAATGGTATATGCAGTGGGGGAGAATATTACATATAAATTCTAAATATCTGACTAAATTTTTCTTCATAAGTTTAAATTCTCTGTATAGACACTGGCTGAAAAATTCCACATAGAAGACTAAAAATTGAATGCCAAGATTAGGAAAAATCCCATGTAATGCATTCTTTTGAAGGACAAAACGCTTTACATAATATTTTTTCTATTTTGTCATTT